TATGTCATTTGCTCCAATTGTGTTCCGTTAGATAGGATCAAATTTGATAAATATTGGTATTTTAATATTACCACATTCAAAAAATTCAACTATAAAGTGTTTGGTAGAATATTAAACGTACTTACTCAAATATTTATCAACTCTTCATCTAATATATATGTCACAAATACGCACACCTCCGAGAGTCGATTTAGAGATAACTATAGAAAACATAGGTAGTAATCTAGACGTAACTATAAGAACCTTTATTTTGTGTGGATAAATATAAAAACCTATTACAAGTTGGTATAAAATGTTGACAGTTAGAGTGGTGTAAGAACCCGCGCCATTAATTTAGGAATTTAATTAATTAAATGTGAATTTAGAAAATAATTCCATAATTGACCCTAATAATTATGAGAAGGCATTAAATAAGTATAGTAAGTGATTAATAATGTTGAAAGTCGCTTTTCTGACGAAAAGAGCAAATACCGGTTCTGCCTCACGATATAAATGCGTACCGATGACGTATCCCGAAAAATTATGAAAAATATGTATATATTACTAGAATAATATATAGGACTAGTAAAACAAGTTTGGAGTCAAAATAACAAGAATTGATGTCAGAACTGATACTGACTACGTAAAAGCGCGTATCGGCAAAGTGCTGCGAAAAATATAATAAAAATATGATAAATCTTAAAAAAATGGCTAGGTTCAGAATTCAAAGTTTGGGATTAAAATGATAAGCGTATCTATTAGTGCTAATACAGTGTGCTTAAAACTTAAACAACTATAAATGCTTAATGGCACATAACCCTAGGCCATATTTGCTTATCCTACGTGAGTCCTCTGATGCCCTTAGTTGCTGCCACCATTTTCCTCCTCCATTGAAACCTCCCAAGTAGCATTTCTCCATACTTTCTTCACCAAAACTCCATAACTAAGTGTGATCAAGCTTTGAGTGGGAGAAAAATGAAGTCTTGAGGGTGTGAGTAGGCTGTGTCTTCAGAGTTAGGGGCTGCCACCCTGGTTGGGTGTTGTGGAGCCATTGTTCCTTGCTTGTGTGGCTTCAAGAAGCCATTTTTGTTGGGAAAAGACCTTGCTTGCTTGTCATTTTCGTGTCCTTGTGGAGTTAGACCATTAGAGCTGACTTTAGAGCTCCAAGAGCACCCCCTCTTTTCTGTTTTGAACCTTGGGTAAGCTTCATCACCTTTGATCATGAGTTTGCTATGTTAAAAGTGGAGTCTTGACATGTTTAATGAGATGATTAAGTAACTAGCATGTGTACTGGTCTAAATATGCCTAAAAATGGATTCTTGGACGTATAGATGTGTTAAAAATCCAACCTTGGATGGATATCTTCGCGAAATGCAGAAACTGCATTTTGTCGCAAAATATCTGGATATGATATTCGGATTTGCCCCCGACAAATATCCAGATATTCTGAGAATTTCGAGACAGTCACTGTTCTGTTCATACAGAACTGTATTAGGGGTTTATGAACCCTAGATTGGTTAGTTGAACCTCTGTAATAAATAATCTAAGTCAGAATCAATTGAATTAAGGGCTTAGGGCTTTGGGAGAAGCCTAATGGCATGAAACGATAAAGAGAACGTTGTCATTATGTGATGAACTCTTAGATATAAATATTTATATGATTGCTGGTCTAAACAGATTGTTATTGTGCTGTTTGTGGACCTTGTGCTAGTGTGGACTTTGGCTTGGATTGATTGCTTAGAGGTAAGCTTTCGTGTCCTCGGTTTTGCCATGTTGGTTCCACCATACCTCATGGAGGGATGGTTTATATGCATGATGTGTTTTCATGTATTGATATTTGAAATGTTATTGAGCTGTTAAGTGCAAATGCCTTATGATATGTATGTGTTGTTCCACCTAGACGGTAAGCCTGAGTATGTAGCGTTATACAAGATGGTGATTCTGTGGGTGGGTGCAAGTAGCGTCTTGCACTTATTGTAGGTTGTAAACGTATGTAATTCCTGCATGTTCTCTGGCCAGTAGGATTTTGACACACATGACATGATTATATGCTGCATTGCACTGATTTTGAAACTTATGTTATTATCCTGCTTTTGAACTTATATTGCACATGTAAGTGAGCTTGGGGTGGAGAGATCCTTGAGGACCCCTTGTCTTACTGAGATTTCTTTTTAGAGATCTCACCCCACGTTTGGGGCACATTTTCAGGTTCAGGTACCTCGGGGGTTGAGACCTCGGGCAGCAGGAGGCCGGAGCTGAGTTGAGATATATGTTGTTGTGCTGTTAAGCCTGGCTGTTTGTTATGATTTATTGTCATTATGCTGTTATTTGATGCGAGACTATGTTGGGCTTTGTTGCCTTATTTGGTGAGCATGGGGGTTGTCCATGCCACATTGATGTTGGTTATGCTTTTAGCTTGAGTTGCATAATTGTATCAGGATATTGTCCGGTCTACGTGTTGTAGTTCCATGACTAGATACACACTTAATAATGTTATAAGGTTATTCAGTGTAGTTAGCTGTTCATTTGCAATTACATACAGGCAATGTTTTGAAAACGGATTAATTAATCAACTTGTTTAATAATAATGACGTCGTAATTGAATGGAAAGAAAAAGTTAGTTCCACATTTTAATTATGCAGCGCTTAATACGATGATATGATAACAAACCGGGTATACACGGGGTGTTACAAGTGACAAACTGGGCTCGGCCCGGAGGGCCGGCCTGCCAACGTGTTCGTATAATTAAATTAAAATTCCAACCTTCATCTTTTATAATTGAATTCCGAAATTTATTTTCAATTTTGTGAATACTAATTTGTATAATTTTGAATATCGAGGCCACGAATCCTTGCAAAAAAATAATTATTTATTCTTATTTTGTAAATCTGATTGTGATAGATGAAAGTCCATCTCTGAGAAATATTAAAAGAAGTTGAGTCAAACTTTGTAATTTTTGAATGACTACAAGACAAATTAAAATACAATGATATATTTTTACGATTTTCGTTAACTTTTAAGAGACAAATAAACAATTTTATTTTTTCCGTGCATCGCATGGATAATACACTAGGTCTGTCTTCACTCATGGGCAATTATATGTGGCACTATCAAGAGTAAAGAGCAAACAAGGATTGAAGATATTGATACTTGATGATAATGGTTGTGTTACAAACAACCTTTAACATCGTCTACAAGGAAGTATTTCAGGGATTAGTGTAGTTCTTTTAGTCCATTGTAAGACAAGATTTATTTGATTATATTTCTTTTGCATCTTAAAATATAAGTGTCATCTATTTAATGAGCAGTATATAAATAATCCAAATGTTTTAGTAGTTTATTTAATGCGACCTATAATTTATTTTTTTATTCATTGGTTGCTATAGTAATTTAACATTTCTATTGTCGAAGTGTTCATCCTAAATAATTTATGGTTGCTGGTTTTTTTTTTTTTTTTGTCTTTGTAGGGTGCTGGATGTGTCGATCTTTGCCCGAAGAAAGCAAGATAGAAAAAACAGCTAAAATTTGTTGGCCGCATTAACTATGTGCATTGTCCTGGATTCTGTCACATTTTTACTTCATTGAAGAATTGGGCAAGTTGTTATTTTCAAAGTTCTGCGTGAAGCTGTTGTTTTTTCAAGTTCAAAAAATACCACAAAATAGCACGATAATTCTTTTCTACTTCAAATATTTCTCAAGTAACATGTATATTTTTTTGTTTTTTTATTCCTTTATATTTATAACTTTATGTTTATATTTCCAGAATATTAAAATTCAGAGCTTCACACCATGATGAAGGTGTTGATTTACCCGAGGTGATGATTAACCAATGACGGCCGACAACAATTTCGTTCTTTTTTCTCCGGGCATCGCACGAATAATTCATGAGTTATATATAAATTTAAGAAAATACTTATGAAGTATAAATCTAGTAACTTGAATTTTTAAATTTATCAAATTACACACACACAATTTTTTAGGGTAAATATTTTTATCTTAAACTGATCGAATATTTTAAAAGTTGTTTTTTGAAGAAATTCTTATGGAATTAAATTAAGTTAGGTTGATCAAATATACATACTATATTATAATGATTCTCAATAGTTTTTGTCTATAATTTCAACATATTTTATTAAATAATTTATGGTATGTTATTTTAGAATGATAGTTTTTCAAAGTTATTAGATTGATATTCAAAATAATGAAAAAGTAAACATCAATGATTTAATATTCAAGGCTCCTTAATAATTATCAGTATGATATCTAATTACATTGTATAAATAAATTAAATAATTAAAGCTGTACCTGTGTTAAATAAAAAAGTAATAACCGGCCAAAATCCAATGCAAAACACAATCTATCAATTTTATATTTTAAAAAAGATAGCACCATAAACAAAACAAAAAAAAATCTCCAAAGCTAAATTTTAAAATGAAATCCCAAAACATAAAAAAAGAGGAACCTTGAGTTCAAGAAAGGCATGCATCATGTAATGTAATATAGTGACGTGACTCTTGACATGGTGTGTCACTCACAAACATTGATTACTGCATTATATTTAATAATTTTCTATACATTTTTACTAAAATCAATAACCACAAAATATTTGTACCTTTATAACAGCTTCCATTCTGAAAGCACAACACACAAGAATTTCTCCACCAATGATAAAAACTAGACACTATAGACCCTACGTCAAGCATTTTCTTTTGGTTATTAAGGACTAAGGTAGAGCGAAACCCGTTAAAGCTTTGAAGATTGGTCGTGATGCGGGTGCAGCGCAACATTCCATGCCTATTTCCAAGTTTAGCTACGTTCCCCTTGAGCGCCACGTTGAGCCTCATTCTTAAATGCATGCATTTCTCACTATATATATAGACCCTTAGGCAAAATCATTTTCATTCAGACAAAAGAGAAAAAAAGAAGATAAGGAAAAAGAGAAGAGAAAGATGAAGACCATAAACTCAAAGGTTTTTCTGTTGGTGCTGTGTCTTGCCGTGTGTGTGGGAATGTGTAGACCAATGGGTGATGATGTGGTTGAAGATGCCAAAACCACAGCTGGGGATGTCAAAGATGGCGCCACTGAAGTTATGAGTGATGCCAAGGAAAAGACTGAGTCTTTTGCTGATTGGGCTTATGACAAGTTTGCCCAGTAATCTTCTCTTCTCTCTCATATACTTTAGTTTCCAATCATGGTTTCAGCATCTTATCTCCTTAAATTTTAGTTTGTTCCACTTAATAACTTGTAATACAATTTTAAGTGGTAAGGACTTTGCTCCTTTTTATCAAGATCTCGAATTCAAGTTTTAGGAACAGAGAAAACGATAACTCGAATTGAATTTATAGAAAAAAAAATGCTATAAAGGAAGATAAGCTATTCATGTCATTTAGTATTATTTTTCTTTGTTGTTTCACAATAATTAATGACAACTAGTCATAGCGAAAGAAGAAAACTAGAGAGTGGATAACGTGCCTTCTTGTTGGTAGTAGTCAGGAATTTTTGAGAAAAAAATAAAAAGATGAAACTTAGAGGTGACAAGGCAGAATAATATAAGCATGTGGATGATCCTTGGTAATGTGTAATGTCTTAGGATCAGGGTTTTAAATGTTTAACCAATCAGTATTTATTTTACTAGAATTATCCTCAAAAGTTATAGTTTGTATTCATTAGTTTGCGATTGTTGTTCTATAGTGGTTTCGGGTTGAAAGAGGATGAGGAAAAAAAATTGGCTGAAAACAAGAAGTTTCAAGTTGAAGAGGCTGCCTCAAAGGCCGCAGAGTCAGTGAAATCAGCGGCATCAGGTATTTATTTGCTAACATTTCTAGCACTCCTTTTTAGCTGCCTCCCTATTATAAAGTGGGTTGAATTAATTGTTGTACATAACATTAAAGTTTAAGTGATCACGGGATTACGAGTTCGATCTCAATGCCCTCGACTTTTTAATAGAATTAAATTAGCATAAGGTTGAAAAAAAAAATAAGCATATGCAATATCCATATTCCAAGTCCAAACACACGGTATAACAGAGAAATATGAAAAACCATCGATGGTCTTCACTTATCAGCTTGAGGCGTTAGATGAGATGTGCATTTATCTAACCAAAATAATGTTTTTGCTTATTGATTTGTCTATAGGAGCTTCTGAGTACGTTTCACAGACGGCTTCTGGTGCCAAAGAGAAAGCAAAAGGAGCTTACGAATATGGAAAAGATAAGGCCTCTAATGCATATGATGAAACCAAGAAGCAAACAGAAAAGGCCTCAAATGTTGTTGGAGAGAAAGCCTCTACTGCATATGATGAAACCAAGAAGCAAACAACAAAGGCCTCAAATGTTGTTGGAGAGAAAGCCTCTAATGCATATGATGAAACCAAGAAGCAAACAAAAAAGGCCTCAAATGTTGTTGGAGAGAAAGCCTCTACTGCATATGATGAAACCAAGAAGCAAACAAAAAAGGCCTCAAATGTTGTTGGAGAGAAAGCCTCTGATGCCTATGAAGAAACAAAGAAGCAAACGAAGAAGGCCTCAAATGTAGTTGGAGAAAAAGCCACCGGTGCTAAAGATACGGTGGGTGCAGTGGGGGAGAAAGCAGCAGAGACTTTTGGCCAAGCTAAACATAAAGTGGGTGAGGCATATGACTCAGCGAAGAAAACCGTGACTAAAGATAACAAAGAGACCAAGACTAAGTAGAAGGTCAATTTCAATAGATGTTAGTGACATGTATAGTTGTTAATATTGCATGATACTTGATAGGTGGACGATAGCTATAGTAATAAACTTTCTATTTCACTACTACTCTTAACAATACAAGTAGATAGTGAAATATGACAAGTTTGAGCAATGTATCAACCGTTATATCAGTATCGGTGAAACAATTCTGTTTCTGTTTTTATTATCATTATGATGATTATTATTATATTATAATTTAGGGTGATACTCTTGATTTTTTGTTTTTGCTCTACTCTTGCTTCCCTCGCCCCTTCCCCACACACGATAAAACATATGATAACAAGTGGCTCTATTTTTAATTTCACTGCTTCTTTGACAAGCAAAGTGACAATTTTAGAATGACTGCGGTGACCAGGAAAAACAATATATCAATGTCAAAGGTAGCTGCATTACAAAGTGTATTGGGATTACAATTCAGTGAACAAAGTCGAGTTCTTTTCGTAAGAAAAACATAACTTGTCTTCTACTTCAATAATAGCGGAGTGCCTTTTGTTGGTCCTTTAGCTGTTTAGCACTCAGTCAAGGGAAACTCATTCGTTTCTAGGATGATGACCAGTACAGTGTTATTCCGTCGCAAAATGTGATCGATTTTTCTTCACAAATTTGCCACGAATATAAGCGGGTGAAACGTCAGGGCAATTTTGCTGCGGAAGCATTAAATTAATCTGTCGCAAAGCTTGCGACGTGATATGAAAGCCTAATCCGTCGCAAAACTTGCGCGTTGGTATCAATGATATCAATCCTTCGCAAGATTGCGATAGAATTAACATATTCTGTCACACTTTGGTGTCACATTCTGAGACAAAAACTGAACAAAAGTCCGTCACAATTGGACGAACTATAAAAAAATATTATAACTATTAGACTTCTTCATGTACACAACAACCACCCAAATAAAGAAAAAGATATTCATTAATAAACAATACTGAATTCCGTATTAAAAAAAGTGTATTTCAACAAATGCATACAGTAGCAATCCTAAAAAATTATACATAAACAAAACGAGATATAAATAAAAATGTGGCGAACAAAATGAAATAAAAAGAACTATAATCATACATAATGTCTGTAAACTAGTAGCCTATAAGTCATCATCATCAGCACCCGGAGCTGGCCCCTTGTTCTTGTTGTTGTTCTCTTTCTCCTTCATTAGGGACTGAAGTTGTTCTTGCATTTTCCTCATAATTTCGGTTGTTGTTGCATCATCTTTGCTTGCGAACTCACTAGCTGGTTCATAGCATTTAGTTGCGCCTCTAGCTCGGTATGCTTCGCCTAATGTGCACCTTCCATGTTGGCAACCAACGTCTCCATCCTTTTAAGCTCATGCAAATACATCATTAGAACATAAATTAATCTTTTGTACTTAATTTAAATGGAATATGGAGTGAAAATGTAAAATAATTATGAAATGCGCATTACGCTAACCTGCAAAGACACCTTCAACTTGGCTAGATAAGCGCTTGCTAGGCCTTAGTCGGTTGGCAGATGGTCCCAATCTGAACACTCTTCCTTTATTGTCAAATCCTCATGCATCCTTAATGAAAAGGTTTTCATTATTAGACTGAAAGGAGCCGGATGTAGGGTCTGTCGCATTCTGTGTAGCCCACTCCTCTTCAAACTTGCGATAGTTTTCCTACAAGCCAAAAAAAGACACCACCAATGTAACATGTAAAATAAAATAAAATAAACATGTTACATATTGAAACAAATAATAAATAACAAATATCTCACCGCTATTTACGATGACCTGTCATTAATCCAGCGCTTCTCACCAGCTGCCGACCATGGGCCTGCTTAAAGGTAGCGCAATCAAGCTTTTCTGGAGGCACTTCCCTAGAAGCTTCCTGCAAATACATATGAGGACCATTAATTAATTAGTTGGAAGTACAAAATATTGAATACCAAAATAGAAAACAATGTATACTTACAATATTTCTCTTATGATGACTTATTGGAATGGAGCCTCCAATATATGAGGGTCTATCCATTCGAGACCTATTTTGTTTATTTTGCGTGGTCCTCTACTGAAATTTCGGATCGGCTTCCTATTTTTCCTTCAATTGTATTGCGATCTCAACATTAATCCATTCGCTCTTGCCCTTATTTTCTCTCGATTTATGAAATCAATCAGACATCCACCTATTTGCTTTGAAGTTATAAGCTTTCCTTGAATCTCGCTGATGGCCGGGCAACCACTAAACTTGCCCCAAAAATAAAAAATGAGCAATTAGTGCACAATTTGATACAATAAATTAATGAGTTTGCATTTTGATGAGAATCAATTAATAACCATAAAATGGACATAACTTACCAAGAAATCATTCAACCAAGTAGTGTGAGTAAGCGAAGGAAACTCTCCCTAATTTCCCAATTGGTGATTGTAATTACGGAACAATTGCTTGTCCATGAAATCTTTGACCAGTTTATAAGGCTCAAATTTGATAACAATGTACAACTGAAAATGTTAGCATACAAACAAAAGGAAAAAAACATTAGTACATTACTAGTAACAAATGAAACTTATTTGGTGGTGCCTACTGTAACACCCCGTGTATACCCGATTTGTTAGCATGTCATCGTATTAAGCCACGCTTAATTAAAAATATGAAATATCTTTTTCTTTTCAATTATGACGTCATTATCATTACCAAGTTGATTATTAAATTCTTTTTCAAAACATTGCCTGTACGTAAATTGCAAATAGACAGCTAACTAAATTACCTCAATACATAAATATCTGTGAGTATCTATGTCACGGAACTACAACACGTAGACCAGACATAATCCTGATACAATTATACAACTCGAATCTAAAAGCCTAAAGTCAAGTCAATGTGGCATGGACAATTCCCATGCTCACCAACTAAGGTAACATACCAACAGGGTCTCCACACAATAATCCATAAGATGAAGTTAAACACATAATAGCAACAAACATAATCCAGCATCCAAGCATATTCAGCATAAGCAGATAAACATCAATCAACTAAGCTTCGGCCTCCTGCCGCCCGAGGTCTCAAACCCCGAGTTACCTGAACCTGAAAATGGTGCCCCAAACGTGGGGTGAGATCTCTAAACAAAAATCTCAGTAAAACAATAGGTCCTCGAGGATCTTCCACCCCAAGCTCACTTACATGTGCAATATAAGTTCCAAAAGCATTTAATAGTATAAGTTCCAAAACCAGTGCAATGCAGCAGATAATCACGTCATGTGTGTTATAACTAATCTACTGGCCAAAGAAATGCAGGAATATGTCTATTACCCACATAGTACGCGCCTGTAAGAACCTGCACCAGTAATTAAGAAATTTAATTAATTAATTAATTAATTATATGACTAATGAGATAAATCCATAATTGACCCTAATAATTATGAGAAAGCTTAAATAATTATGGTAAGTGATTAAGAAGGCTGAAAGTCGTTTTTCTGACGAAAAGTGCAGATGCCGGTTCTGCCTCACGATATAAATGTGTACCGATGAAGTATCCCGAAAAAGTATGAAAAGTGTGTATATGTCACTAGAATAATATATAGGACTAGCATAACAAGTTTCAGGTCAAAATAATGAGAAGTGGTGCCAGAACTGATACTGGCTAAGTAAAAGCGCGTATCGGAAAGGTGCTGCGAAAAATAAAATAAAAATATGACAAACTTTAGAAAACTGAGTAGGTTCAGAATCCTAAGTTTGAGATTAAAATGCTAGGCGTAGCTATTAGCGCTAATACAGTGCGATTAAAACTTAAGTGGCCTATAAATAGACCTTGGCACATGATCCTAGGTCATTTTGTGTCTTGCTACGTGAGAATTTCTGAGGAGTAGAGTTAGCCACCTTGCCATTCTCTTCTACCTCCATTGAAGCTCCAAGTGAGCACCTTTTCTTCTTCTTCCTTCACCTAAACACCTTGGGTGAGTGTGGACCATCATTGTAAGTGAGAAAGGAGCACCATTTCTGAGTGTTGGTGACTGTTTTGTGTGAGTGTGGGGGCTGAGTTCCTGAGTTGTGGTGTTGGAGCCCTTTCCTTGATTGTTGGAGCTCCAAGTGCCACCCTTTGTGAAGAAAAACCAAGTCTTGTGTGCCATTTTTGTGCACCCTTGTTGTCAGCATCATTGGAGCTGAAGGGAGAGCTCCAAGAGCACCTCTTTGTTCTGTTTTAAGCTTGGGTAAGCTTCACCACCTTTGATCATGAGTTTTAGTTGTTTAAAGGTTGAATCTTGGCATGTTAATGAGTTAAACAAGTAACCAACCTGAACATGAACATAAAAGGGTATAAAAATGCATGCTTGGACGTAGTAAGGGGTTAAAAACCCAACCTTGGAAGTGATATTTCGCGAAATGCAAAAACTGCATTCTGTCGCGAAATATCCGGATATGATATCCGAATATTGATATCCGAATATGGGGTCTTGAGATATCCGAATATGGATATCCGGATATGGCACCGACATATATCCGGATATTCTGGGTTTTCGTGGACAGTAGCTGTATTGTTCATACATAATGACATTTTGGGTTTGTGGACCCATGTTTGGTCAATGTGGACTTCTGTAATAATTAAACTAAGTCAGAATCTAAGGGATTAAGGGCTTATGGCTTTGCGAGAAGCCTAAAGACATGAAACGTAAAGAAAATGCGTTGTCTTTATGTCGTTTGCTTGTAGAGCATGTATATTGATAATATTATTGGTCCAAACAGATTGTGATTGTGCTGTGTGTGGACTTTGAGCTTGGTTGGACTCTTACTTGGATAGTTAGCTTGCAAGGTAAGCTTTCGTGTCCTCGGTTTAGCCATTGTTAGTTCCACCGTACCCCATGGGGAGATGGTTTATATGCATAATGTGTTTTCAGGTATTGTTTTATTGAAATGCTATTGAACTGTTAAGTGCAAATGCCTTATGATATGTGTGTGGTGTTCGCCTAAACGGGATGTGATCCTGTGGGCAGGTACAGCATTGGCGCGTAC